TTCTGAATCCAAAATAGGAAATTGTAATGTTGGATTTAAAACGTTAAATTCAATACACACATTAACAAATCGTATGTTGGTGTCGGGAAAAATCGCGGAAAAGTTTAATGGGTACGAATCCCGATGCAATAAATTTCTTCTCCATTTTTAATCTCCTGTACGTGAAATGTGGCAGAAAAAGAACAAATTAATATAAATGTTTTCCAAATTCTGTTCCAGAAGACACAAGTAAATTGTTTAACTTTCAAATCTGCTCAGAAGTATTTGGCAGATAAAACGTGCTTGCTTGTTACCTTAATGCTGTTCTTGCTTGTTACCTTGATGTTTAAAATACGTTCGTATGAAACTCATCTTTCATATCTTGAGCAGAAAATAAACTGAACGATACACACGAACGCCTGTTTTCAACCGTGTGTAGTTCGAACACATTCGTAGGCGAAGTCAAGAAATGCTGAATTCTGTTAAATAAACAGTGCAGTAAAACCTAACACATACAGTAACAGTTAAGAAAATACTGTATCTTAAAAAAACATTTTCTAGACATCCCGATACAAAGTAATACGTACAACGAAGTCTCAGTGCGAAGACTGGGCATGTTATTTCCACTGCCTTGTATATCAGAACTATGGGTCGTGAAAAGGCAGATTCAAGCACAGATGTTTGCTGTTGCATCAGACGAAAGTGAGAACCGGAGAAAGGTTTTCGGCCGACCTTGGCTCCAGTTCCCGGTTTTGTTTTTCAACTTGTTTTATTTTCAGTTCCGTCTGACTCCGTCTACCTTCCACAACGCCTCACTGTTTAGTTGGCCATGTGAATGACCCCAATGCAGCATTATTTGGCAACACTGTAAAGACCATGAATCGCTTCACTTAAACTTGTCTACCCACTGTGGTCTTGTACCCTGCAATACTTTTCAGGTATCGAATGAGTGACAGCAGCTTCAAACACGTGAACAAGCGTCAACACTGGCTCGACTTGCTAGACGGTCGGGGTTCCAACTCCGACAGATGTGACGGAAAATTTTCACACATAAGGCACTACCCTAGCGGAAGTCCGGGGAAATGAGGAAAACCATGGAAAAATTCGGTCAGGTTAGCAGATATCCTAGCCAAGACTCGGAACATCCCGAATAAGAGACATATAACTCCGTCCAGACTCCGATAAAGCTTGTGTCTGAGTTAAGAGAGAAGTGTTGTACAACATTCTCTTTGAATGAGACATACTCATGATACTAAATACGCTGTTCTAAATCTACAGTAACGTCTGTATAAAGGATCTTTTGATGAACTTTCCCTTCAGAACGGTATCCAACAAGCACACGCTTTGTGACCAGGATTTTTCGACATAGCTTCAGAACACGTTCGCAAATTCCAATAAAATCAGGGAGAGATTAAAGTGGATGGAACATTTCCGCTCCCTGTGTTAATTAGGCTAAAATATGGGTCATACATGTGTGTTTATATCAACAATTTACAATCAGCAACAATGTACCGATATCATTAAAGTTGTGCTGGCGCAAAATGTATCATAGTTAATACATAAATACCAAACCACAGGAGAAGACAAAACTGAAATTGTCTCCGCACCGGAATGCAGGAGAAAACATTATACAAATGGTCTCACATCCTCAACAACAGACCTCAGTTCATGCAGGTTGCCTAACCTTGCAGTACGAAAAACGGATCTGACAGACAAACACGGCACAAAGAGTTCCTTAGCTAAAGCCTCACGAACACCTAATATATGGGTAGAACAGCGACAAATCGTAACTATGTAATGTTTTACGAGCAAATCAGATTCAGGGAATGACTGCAACCAATCAGTTCTTAAACTTTCCTCTCTCTCCCCACCTCCTCAAAAAACATATATTACCAATTTTTTACCTTTTGTTTTGTATTTGGTATCTCACAGTAATAAAATATACAATGAGGGTGTCTGAAAGCAGGGGTCTGAGGAGAATATTTGAGCATATTAAAGAGAAACTAAAGGGCAAAGGTGAAGTTGAAATATGAGGTTCTCACTGCGGTGAAATTTCTGATTGTGTTGTTCAAATTTATGGCACCCTATAGACGTGAGAGACAGAGGCAGTAGGCTCCTCCGAAATGTTGCTAACTACCTAAGAGTATACTCGTCAGAATAAGACCACAGTCTTCGGAAAAATTTGCCCTTCTACTTACACACCATCACGACGAATGAAGAGCTCTTTCAGAACTCACAGACGGGATTCTGTGAGGTTGTAGTCTTCTAGATACTGGCATCGTGTAAATTACCATAATTTCTGAAGAACAAGCTGCTTTCATCTTCAGGGTAAAAAGGTCATCTCTATTTATTTTTCTGGGAAATACTGACTTCGTACTTTTAATTTTCCTCGCCCTTCTGACTGTATCATTCACACTGTTACTGAGCTCTGTGAGCCAGATGATTATAAACCAATTTTCATCACGATGAAAAAGTGCAATTCCGTCTCCCCCACACATTATGGACTAGCAAATCTTTCTGCTATTGGAAGTGGGCTTTGTAAATCAAAACACACACCATGCCATCTATTGACTAGTCCGACAAATTCTACAACAGCTACCCAGCGTTCCCGAAGACGCTGCCATCTGTTGGCAATCACCCCAAATATTCGTTACAACAGCACGTGCCAACAACCCGCAGGGTCATAGACCTATATGGTGGGGTGAAATGACAGGTTTTGTGTTGCAATGCGCCTTTTCAAGGCAATCTGGTTTTTCTTACTATTTTTATTGCCTTTACGGATTAGTTCAATGGCTTATTTAAATTCTGAAAATTATATAAACAACATTCACAAAAGGTAAAATTCATAACAAAAGAAAAAGTCTAAAATATCACTTCAATTAAAGGCAACACTCAACTGAGATCTCTGTCACTGGTATGAACAGAAGTATGCACACACAAAAACATTTTGGTGTAAAAAAGAAACAAAAAACAAAAGCAAACACTGTATACCATTCCAGGCACCATTATAAGGGTTGAATGAAAGTAAATTACAAGAATAAAGACAAGGGTCCAAATGAAAAATAGTTAATTTACATCACAGTTTGTGTATGTAGAAACAATTTGCCTATAACCTACATAAGGAAGCTGTCATTGACTAAATTTTTCTCCCATCTCCTGTCACTTCCTTCCTCTTAGGTCAAATTATTCTCCTCAGCACCCTGTTCTCCAACACTCTCAACCTATGTTCTTCTGATGGGAGGAGAGAGGTATGCAGCTTAAAGTTATTTATGTAACAGTGGAATAAAAACAAACACAAATTTTATAAAGCTAATAACAAGTAACTACTTGTATCAGTCACATACAAACAACATTTTAGTAATAATAAAATAAACACAGCTCATGCTCATGACAACAAAATGAATTTCTACTTCCACCTATAATCAGCCATTGGAATTACAGTCAAGACACTGGAAGAAGAGTTGATGAAGCTACACATGAACATGAGACAGCTATGATCATAGAATGTGAAAATTGCGGTGATAATACCAACAAAGATGATGATGATGATGATGATGAAGCTTTCTTTCTGAAATTTACCAATTAACCAACTCCACATACAAGCATCCACATCACACACTTTTAAACAGTGAGAAATACTGATTGTAACACTGAATATACTTTCAGATAAGGTAAAACAAAACCAAAGTATTTATACAAATGTAGCAAAACTTGGACAAGCTGATAGCAGCCACTACTTCAGGGACTGGGCACTAGGGATACTGGGAACGACCCATTCTTCAAGTGCCTGAGCACTGCGGGTCCCAACTTTTTGTTGACATGATCTATTGACATTTGGTAGGACTCCTTGGACGAAGGATTGACCCGTCGCAAGGCATCTACCTATACACAGGACAGCACAACACATAAAAACGAGGACAAACATCCATGGCTTGAGTGGGATTCGAACTCACGGTCCCAGTGACCAAGCAGTACAAGGCCCATGCTTCAGACCGCGCGGCCACTGCTACCCCTCTACTTCAGGGACAGTGAACATAATCAAGACATTTTTGGAATATTCTTCATAATTCAAATGCCAAATTATATAAAAACTCAATGCAAAGGATTTTAAGTTCTAAACATATCCTAACATTATATACTGACGGCAAGAAAGTATTCTGTGACCTTCCAGAAGAAAATAAACTCTCACTTGATATATAGCTCAATTTAATTATGTTAATCACGGGAATAAGAAGGAGGATCCACTACCAAAATATCAACCTTACCTTCATACAGTGCACTCACTCTATTCCATAAATAAAGCTCTACAGACTTACTCATGGTGGTAAAATCATTATACCTGATGTGGAGGAAATGCCACTACTAACATTTTGGTTAAGTTTAGTACATAAGTTATAGCTATAATTTCACTGATTTAATGTATTCATAGTAGCATGTAAGAGTTCAGTTGATGTCAGAACTATTTAATCAAGCAACTTCAGTCAATCAATACTACAATTAAACAGTTCACCCCAATTCCAATAAATACATATTTCATGATACTTACCACTGGAAGGCATTGAAGTGGAAGTACACAAGTCCTTGTCCATACAAAAAATTTGCATCCTTCCAGTAGTCTTGCTTAAGGCTGAAGAATTTCTGGTATGCTGACATTGCTGCAAAAATGCAAATATGTTGCAATTCAAACAATTCACTTAAAGTATCTGCAGCTGTTGTATTTCAAAAATACCTATTTAATTTCACACACAGTATGAAATTATATTCCACTAAAAACGGTCTGCAAATAGTGAAAAATTCAGTTAATTTTAAAGATGGACAGTATATAGTGAGCCTCTGATCTGCAGATTTCAAAGTACTATTGCTTCTGAAACAGTGATGGCAAAGGCTCTGCAGCCTGACAATTTTTGCCAATGCTAGAAGGTTTTGTGATTTTTTAAAATTAATTTTGAAATATTTCTTTAAATTTCTTTTTTATCTTATTTTAACTTAAACAGGAATGTATGAAAGTTCATACTGAACAACTCCTTAGTTTCTATATATCATTCATACATGTCAAAAGGCATTAATGGCAAGTAATACTGATATACTGCACAGAATTAGAAAATTGAGGCAAAATTCGGAAGACACTCCAACTTACGGTATCTCCAAACAGCACTCAATATCTGTATTCACACACTTCAAATAAATACAACACTTCAATACGTTTTATACCTTCATCCCATTTGAAATCTGTTTTCGCCCACAACAGAACCTTATAATTCACAACGAATTTGTTAAACCCAAATCAGAAGCCAGGAAAAGGCCAACTATAAGAACTTGTAGGATTTAATTTCATAAAAATCTGACCTACACCTCCTATAAATTTAATACTCAAGACCTACGGACTGGATACCTGACCATTTTTTTCTACAAAGCTGAATATAAACAGGCCCCTGACATTCAGGTGTCATCTTTCAGGTTATTTTCAGTATTACAAAAATTCTTCTAATGATCCTTCATGACCCCACTTCCCTGTTACCCTGACTTGGTCACAACATTTGGTTTGGAACCACTGTATTATAGAGATTAAGAAGTGGAGAAACAACTTGTGGACAGTTTTAAAATTTATCTGGGTTAACTGGGGACAGGAACAAAGATCCATAATTGCAAATTCATGTCACATTCTCATATCCCTGACTTAGCTGGATAGCAGCTATTATTCTAAATGCAGCAACATGAAATGTTATTACGCACCTTTCGCATAGTCCTCAAGCAAAAGGTGGAAGTGGCCGAGTTTGCAGTATGTCTTAGGATCAATGTTGATGTCCTTGCCTGCAGTTACTGCCGGCTGACCACCCCCACATTCCTCCAATGCCAAGTGTTTATTTCGTTCCTTCTCTCTCTGAGCCTGCACCAGCATTCGCTCAAGATATTTTACCGCCTGCATGTAAAACAAAAGTTTTTACCATTCACTTTGTGGTGATTCATGCTGTACCTGCCAGGAGCCTGGACATGACAGTTTTGTTCCAATTTATCAGTAAACACACTGTATACAAAAACCCCAAAAGCCATAAGCCAAACAGTGATTGTGAAGAACATGTTACAGTAAAGTACCTACATTCACCCATCAAAACAGGAGTCTGTACACTGCATGTAGATTGACTGTAATTGGTTTCAAATTACCAGTTATGTCAATCACAACATTCCATTCTTTTCTGTTTACTGATGATGCATTCTGAATAGGAGAATTTCCAATTCTGCCATGAATTGAAGATATGATTACAGAAATGCAATACAAACTATGCATTTTAAAATTTTCTAAGAACTGTCATATATTCATGTACAATTATACATAAATACAGAACAATCCTTACAAATTTTAAGAAAATACTATGTCCCACAAGGACAATTTTAAGCACCATAGTGATTTGCTAGGACCCAAAGTCCTTTACACCAATGGCTTGTGGTTACAGAAATGGGTTTGTGGAATAACAGTCTGAAAATCACTGAATTGAAATAATTCTGATTTACTGCATGTGCAGTAGCATCACATTATTGTACAAACCATTATTACAGTACAATTGAGTTGCACATTTATCACAGTGTTACTTGTGCCAACTACAAAGTCATGTTTATACAAATGTAAATGATCTAAACAAAATAAAATACACAGACCTTAAGAACTAACTCTTTCTTCTTGACTTGTTCTGGTGTGTTTAGTTTCAGAAATCCAAATTGCCGGCTGAAAAATAAAAAAAGTACTTAATTCTAATAAATATTTTTGGATGAAAAGTAATAGTATTTGCTCTCTTACATTATCCAAATCACAACAAATTGAATATTTTATGTTTGTAGTTTCTACTATGACATATCCCACTGACTAGGTTAGCCTTTTCGGGTCTACATGTTCCAACTATTTACAAACAGATGTAAGCTGCAGGGTACAAAATATGCCAAAGGGCGAGACATGACAAAATGCTAGGCACGTCACTAAGTGATAATACTGGAACAGTCAACTGAATATGAAACATATCTGAAAAATGAATGGGCCACTTTAAACAAGTATGTGGGAAATTAGGTTAGAATAACACTAAGCACTTGTAAGGGAATCAGTGAGTAATTAGCACTGTCATAAACTTCCGTCAGTACTCTCCAACTGACTCATGGAAACAAGAACAATATTATAAATGGGGGAATATATCATATTCATATTTTAGGGAAATTTCTCATAAAGCAGATGATCAGAGGCCATGTTGTTTACCTGTCAAGTTCCGACAGCACCTGCAATTCTTGATTTGTTAAATTGATATCGTCCTGTTCTTGCGCCATTTTAAGGCACTGAAACAATTGTCTACAGTTTTATCATTGGCACAGCACTATTTACACTACTTCATACTTCACTTTCACTCAAAATAAGAAACACTTTCACTAATAACCATCAATAACCACAAACTATTTGAGAAGAATATCCACGCGCCTATTATTCCCAGACAGAAGTTTGATGGGGTATTCGGAAGTTAGATTTTAAATGCCTTCTTCATACTTAAATAAATCTCTGATAACACACAATATCTATGCTTGTAATGCCATCAGTTGAAGAAATACTTTAAATAACTTATAAATGAACGTGTTTGATTGGAACGCGCATTTTATGAGTATTAAAAACGCAAAATAATTATTATCTGAAGGTCGTTCGACTTTGGTCTAGGAAGTCCCATAGCACTCGCATGACCCCTCCAACGCAGTTCAAGTCTGAAGTATGAAGTTCCAAAGTTGAAATATATCAAAGCGGTAGACATATTTGTAACTCAATCAGCTGTTACATAGGTAATATCAGGGTGGGAGGACGGTTGGGGACAGGACAGTCACTAACGTCACAATAAGCTGGTGACAATGAAATACGTAACCATGGTAACATTCATTTCTCATCGATAGTATGAAGTAAAACAAGAAAACCGAATATTTGCTACAGGCCCTCCCAGGAAGCTTTCGTGTATCTAGGCCTATATCTATAGGTACAGGCAAGTCACAGCCAGTGGCGGTGCAGCCAATTGCGTGGCGCTGGGCAAGATTGATTAGCATGGCCCCTTTAAAAAACCGATTCATACAAGTCTCCCCTTTCATTTTCACCAAAATCTTTCTACATTTTAATTACATCTTCATTTCTTTTCAAGATGTCTGGAAGTGACACACTTGACTGTAGATTCTTTCGCTTTAACTCATTTTTTCTTTTTCTTTTAGATGCACCGGATTAAAATTATCTTCATACATCACGATCCCATTTAACACCCGATATCACATTAAATTAAATACATAACCTTGTCCACGAAATAATATTATTGCTTCCACGGTTCAATAGTGACTGAGTTATCTTCCCCGCCAATTTTTTCTCCACTACAATTACAAAATAATTAAATTAAAAGCAACAACAATCTCGAGAAAAATCAGACCAATGCACATAATATGACAAATCCAAATAACAACACCACTGGTTAACAATAAGTATGTCACTGTTGATGAAGACTGTTACAAGCTACCGACAACTGCTAATTATTAGGAGAAGTGATAATGCGAACGAACAGAACACAATCAATCTACAGTCAAAAATATTTTGCAACACCCGACTGAAATTTCTAAATTACAAATTCTCAACGCCTGAAATCTCATCAGTTACATCTTGTTTAACTTTAAGATGCATCACTTGATTTGTATCGTCACTCCACAAGTCCCGTGATAAATACGGAAAAAGTATTTGCTACACAAGACTTTCCTTCTCACATATATAACGACATATCTGTGTGGAAAGATACACGTTTCTCTCTAATACCATGTTTTTAAATTAAAATGTCTCTGTTACGGTTAAATTTCCTGCACCTGAATTCCAAATTGCGTGCAACTTTTCTTAGGCTTGAAGATGGCTGCCTTCTTGAATGTTGCGCCGTGTAATCTGGTAAAGTTTATCGACGTTTCAGAGTTCCTTGCTTTCCAGATATCGTGATCAACCTTCAAAAGTTGGAACAACCTTCTGTTATGTAGAAATTGAAACAAAATCATGTCCAGTACCAGCTTTTTCTTTTTTGGCGGGGGGAGTATGTGTGTTGTGTACAAAACGAGGTTAAAATGTTAACCTATAAATTTCTCGTCAAATTCTTGTTCAATTTTCTTTCCTTGCACTCTCTCATGCCCATAGCATGTTGCACCCTTTCCAGGTAATACATACTTCGTTCACTGCAATACTGTACCTGACCGAACGTAACGCTTTGAATGCTGCAACGAAATCATTAATCTACGCCATTGGCTACAATAAATATGCACAGATAATAAAATGACAGAAGACGGTTCGCTGATACGGATTACCAACATACGATGAGAAGCAAAGTAAGTCAAAACGCTCTCTTCTTTTGTAACACGTGACTTGGCTGTTTGTTCTGATTTCTAGTTTTATTTTAGAACTTAATTTCACAAAGAAATAGGAAGAAACCAATGGCGTCATCATCAGGAGCCAGTAAGTCCAAAAGAGAAGACAAAAATGATTTGATAGATATTGATGATATATCCAATGGCACTAAAGGATTCATTGACAAGGTATTAGGAGACGTAGGAAAATCTTCTGCTGTAAAACAACTTCTACTTGGAAGCATCTCTGGATGGTAAATGTCAAGAGCACATAACCTATATTATTGAAACCTGTGTGTTAAAAATCAGATATGTCAAGTAGCGTCTAACCGCTTGGACTCGTTTACAGGTGCACAGGTTTCATTACTATGAAAGTCGGAAAACTAATTGCCGTTGTTGTTGGAGGAAGCATAATACTCTTGCAAGTTGCAAACCATCAAGGCTACATCAAAGTGGACTGGGATAAAGTACACAAACAAGTTGAGAAGGTTGAGGATAAAGCTACTGGACACAGCCCCAAGTGGATGGAAAAGGTGAGAACCATGATTTATATTGAGCTTATCTCTATGATTTTGCATGCTGTGGACAGTAAAACATGCCGCAATGGAACAAAATGGGTAGTTCTTAAGAACAGTGGAATAGCAGTTCCAGACACCCCATGTACATTCAGGTCATTAATCTCACACTCTGACATCATTGGCACCTTACACACAGGTCAACAAGTAAAATTCTATCAAATTTATCAGAATCCTATGTATACAGATCCAAACTTGTTTGGTTTTCTGCTAATGTTTATGGACAAAAACCATTGTGATAAAATAACTGTTCTACTTAACCCACATTTCTGTTTACTTTAAATTAGTCCATGACCATTTCCTTCCATATTCTTTCCAGTACACTATTCATTACTCTTCCCATCATTCAATACTGTATATCCTTGGCTAGTGAGAGAATCATTTAGTAAATCATCAGTGCATGTAACTTCCCCTTCTTGCAAAATTAGATAAAGGATTTTTCAAAATTTCATCAACAAATTAGTCCAAACCAACACAAAAATCTGCACATTGAAAGTGAAGGAAAGAACAATATTGGTTGGTGGTCAGACTAGACACATAGGAAATAAAGCCTAAAACATTTTTATTTATTTTTCCTGCAACTGCTGAGAGAAAACACTGCTTTTGTGACTGGAAATTTTCCAGTTACTGGAAATAATGCCAGAATACAATTGACAGGAGAGCCTACATCTGCTGCTACCACCAGAAAAAAATCTCTTCTGTACATATCTTTATAAAACTTTGCTCTCAGACAACTTTCATGTTTCTCTCTGAGAGTAGGAGACCAAGTTTAAGACCCACATAAAATTATAGTTCTTTGTGTATTTTAGTGATACAGGGAAAACAGAAGACAAATATTCTGAACTTATAATGTGTTTCCAAAATTTAATATTCTTAATTTAATTATGCATACAATTTTGATTTTTTAGTTTTTCAGCATGTTAATCTAAAATGTTTTATAAACAGTACTTTTCAATATATGCTGTAATATAGTACCAAAACAGGCCTTATATTGCTAATTTATGATTACCATTTTATACTAAATGATTTACTCCTTTTGCTTACATTTTGTTGTTGCAGGTGGGTGCACTTGCCTGCAAGAATGCTTGGGCTGCTGCTGGGTTTCTGGGGGGGTTTTTCTTTGGCTTGGCCTCCTCATAAAACATTGCGTACTTCTGTTAGGTATTTCTTTTCTCCCTAAATTGCGTCAAGCTGCTGTTTTAATGGAACCATTTTTCACCAAAGAAAGAGCAAGATAAGGAATAATACTGAAGATGGCTCTTCTTTGGGTTGTAGTGCTATGTAGTCTAATACTAGTTTACCAGCATTTCAGAAGTACTTGTCTCCTTTATCAGGGTGATGAGTTCCCTTTACCTTAATGATGGAGGCAGTAACTACATATGAAACATTGTGGTAAACTTCTACCAGACTACAGTGTTACAACATATGACAGCCATCTTTATACTCGCTGCCAGATCCTACAAAGGACTATAACTTTTTTGTTATGAATCAGAATAATATATCCAATTTTTCATTACCTGTGGGAGTAAGCCATTATTTGGAATTTGTGTATCAGAAGCTTGTTACAATTTGAGCCAAAGCATTGTTTAATAAAACATTCAATGTTATAATATAGTGTAATACTCAGAGTTGGAAATATTTACTGATTTACATAAATAAAACATTTGTTAAATTATGAAGCAATAAAATATAAGTTTCAACATTTTTATTTAAAGAAATACTTTAAAAGTCAAGTCTCTGTGACTGTCTTCACTTCTGTGGGAGTATGATAATATTAAGAAAGAGGTTGTGAACCAAAATGAACTTATGCATTTCCAGGAAATATTTGTAGAGTTAGTGACATACATGGCAGTCATGAACCCCACACAGTACATGTGTAACTTGACCTTGCATTTATTGTCAGGTGGAACGCTATGTTGATCACAAGTTGGACAAAGCAGAGGATACCTTGAAGAGGAGTGAGCGCAAAGCTAAACGTTGGTACCATACTTTCATCAATGGTGAGAAACCATACCAAGTAAAGGAAATTCATATTTTCCTGGCGGCATTTAGTGCTGGGGTAGCAATTGGCATTGCTTCTGGTTAGTGAACTGGTGGCTTGTGTATTATATTACATTAGAATGTGTTGTTTATATAGCTTATAATTATTTTCCAGTATATGTCATTATTCTAATTTACTAACTAGACACTAGTAGGTAGTGGTGGAGACAGTACTGAGAGGCATTGTTCAAAACGACAAAGATGAAATTGATGAGAACCAGATGATCCAAGAAATGAACATTTTCACTTTATCACAGTGTATACACATTCCTTGCATCGTATTATCTGCCCGAAGTCCTTTCCAGCAGAAAAGATGGATTTCAAAACCTTTTGTAAAACTGATTACAGGTTTTTATGGTACAGTGCTGAGTAAGTCACATCAGCACAAGAAATTAGTCACACTGAATATACCTGATACTATTATGATTTAAAAGTTTGATAAACCATTATAATTTTCACAAGTTTCTCTTTCAGTATGGTAGGTCATAGAAAGTGCGAAGTTTGATCTGTTATTTACAGATTTGTGGATGGCAAATAATTTTAATAATCATGCAAGTCTGACTTTTGAAACTGAATGGTGCATTGTGAATTTTTCCAAATGCCTCTCCTATCCCCCATTTCTGACAGTGTCAAAATGTAGGAACAGAAATATCAGACTGTGGTTCAGAGTATACATTAGGCTGCAAGTGTGTTCTAATAGCTGTTATGTTCTCCAGACCATTATTGACAGTAAACATAACTTCAGCTTATATGTAAGTATGCCGATAAAGGCCAAGAAGGTACAGCCATAAAGAAACAAACAAGTGCAGTTTGATTATAAAGCATAATATTTTTGGCTTCAGTATGTTCAATTTGAAGACATACAGCATATGAATTTTCCTTGCTTTTTTATTTTAAAAATGTACGCATGACAAATAATAGTTGCAACAAAAAGTTTTTGAACTGACCCTTAATTAACAGAAGCACATGTTTACTGCAGATGTTGCTAGGCTGCAGTGTAAAGCAGGTCAGTGATCTGCATATTACTACTACTACTACTAATAATAATCTTTGGCACTACAGGCCCCTTTGCAGACACACAGTATTAAAATGCAACTTTTATAGCCACAAAGCACAGTGAATTTTTAACAACTTCCTAACTGGAGATCTCTGGTGTAGTACATATATTTATAATTTAGTGGGTTAAGGACGCATTTAGACTGATTTAATAATGTAAGATAAAGTGTAGTGAGTTTTATTTCGATCATTGGTGGTGCCCAAATTCATGCCAAAAAGGCATGTTTTATCATATAACTGATGCAGAATGGTTACAACGGATAACACTGTAATCTAGTAGCATGCATGTAATATAGTCACCATCTTGTTGCAGTCATCATTCCCAGCGATCAGTGGTTTGTCAGACAAAAGAAGGGGATGACACAACACTCACAATTCATGGCTACTAAAGACTGCATTGTACTGTTAACTGTAACTCTTACAATTTCTAAGATTGTTTTTGTTTTTAAAACATACCCCTCCATAACAGATGAAAAACATGTCGGCATACACAGCATGTGAACTGGAGGATTTCATTGAGTAGTTATCAAAATGAATTTAATATTATTAATCAGTTCAAGAAATTAAAATAATGAACATAAATATTAGATGTTTAATTCTGGTGGGAGATTTATTAAGAACAAGTCTGATATGAGTGGTGTGATTATGTTGAATTCCATCAAGTGTGGCATCCTTCCTTATTTAGAGCACTGATTGTTTTGTTAACTGTGTTCTTCAACAAGTTTCTGTACTAAAATGTATCATAAATCTGTATTTCTCCTATATCTGGCACAACTAGTATAAAGTTAACATGTGAAAGTGTACCCAGGTAATTTATTTTTAATGTAAATTGTAATTTGTTAAAATGTAAAACTGTTCTTGAAAGTGGTGACTCCACTGTTGTATTCTTTCTAGAAAGAATATGTAATAAAATGTTACTTTTCACAATTACTGTAATGCCCATTTCCAGTTATCCTGATTCACGGGGAATAGTCTATCCAGTATACAAAAGCTGGGTAGCTCAGTCAGTATAGTTCCTAGGCTATGGCCTGATCATGTGGGGTTTGATTCCCAGCACAGGCAAGAGATTTCTCTCTCAACTGTTACATCCAAAATGGCTCTGGAGCCTACCCAGCCTCCTATTCAATGGGTACCAGGGGCTGTTTCCCCAGGGGTACAGTGGCTGGTACTGTTAACAAACAAATATTATTTTTAAAGCTAATTTGTTATTTAATTCTACATTAAATTCCTTTTGTTTCTTATTACAATAATATGCCACTTTCAAATAATGAAAAATCTCACATCACACAGTTTACCAATGAAAAATATCCTCTCAGGAATGTAACACCCATTTTTAACATTGATTCTAGGGGGGAAAGGAAGCCTTGAATTCATAACATTCACAAATACTGTATTCATCAGGTTATACTGGTTGCTGTAAAGGGCAAACCAAAAATGAATATCGTCAGAGTTCATCTCGCAGTGAGACTATTCTGGAAACTAGAAACGAGGTTGCAAGTGAAAGGGTAATGGAATGACCATAATAACCAATGAATAAAACTATAAATAATGCTGTTTCACTGGCAATACATAGATGAGCCATTAAATTGTTGATCATACCTCCTCTGTATCATGATGAAATGTTTCAAGATACATTCAAAATGCAATTTAAATAAGATCTGAAACCACCTAACTGTAAGAGTATTTTTCTTAGGGGGAGGATTCTATATAGAATGTGAATAAATAAAACCATCAGACTAACACAAAGTCATTTCAATATCCTTACTGGAGGCAGGGGCTTGAACTGAAATGTACTGCTATCTGACAGACTGAAACAAATGAGCTCAGGTCCTTACAGACTTTACTTAAACTTACTTGAATCACATCACTGATTGGAACTATTGATTTGTGAATCAACCGAAGATCTTGAATAGAGGAAAACTTCATTCAACCATCTAAAATTCTGGTAGAAATAAATCACAACAATCAAAAGAGACAACCTTCATTTGTGGTAATTGTTTGTTATAACAAACTGTCATAACAAAGCTTGTGTTCTCTTGAACATACTAATTATGCTCCCCCTTGTGGGTTTTATTAGAACAGGTTCATTCATTTAACAATTGATATTGACACTAAGCCCCATCAATTTAAAAAACTTACAGGTGCAATAAAAAATCTGTAATCAAAAAAGTAAGACCAAAATCCCTAAGTTCTATAGAACTATGGTCATATCAGTGTTACATTACGGGGCAAAAATATGGGTTCTAACAATGCAACAAATGAAAAGGGTAGAGGCTGCTGAAATGAAGCTGCTAAGACCATGAGGAAGCTACACTTTATTACATGATAAACACAACGAAGAGATTCGTCAAGAACTTAATGTTACAAATATCATAGACATAACAGATGGTAAACCTTTTTTTGTTGTTGATTCAATCGTGTACCTCTCAAAATACAGCAATATAAACCTACAGCCTGAGGAAACATCAGATGTACCAAGAAATGCTGCAGTGACCAACTTTAAATTAATCTTAAAAGATAATGGAATCAAACATGGCCATATGCTGTTGGTGATGATGTGAGTTTGTATTTACCTAATGATGTGAAACTCAGCTTGTCCATTCAGTTTAACAACGGTTATTCAAAACCATTCAACCGGAGTCTGAGTCACTTGATGATGAATCACCAGTATCATTATTCTCATTGTTATCTCCTGAGTCACTTGAGTCACTGGAGTCATTTGAGTCACTACCACTATCTGATGAGGAGTCATCATCAGAACTAGATCCCTAAAACAAATAATTCATATTGTATGACATTCAATCCTTGTTTCTAATTTTCTCTTCACTCAGCAACATAATGAAGACATAATAGAGGAGTTTGTATACCAACAATTCAATATGAACTTAACTGAATGTGAATCTCAGCCTCTATGGTGAGAAGCTGGCAACTAACTGCCTCAGCTATGGATGGCCTTGTTTCATGTGTACTTACTGTATTAACAGAACAGCATGATTACTAAATGAAAGCAAGCAGTTACACTGCTTACTGCCTCCCATGAGCCTTTCCATCATGCATTCATTTTGTCCTTCATACAAAGAATACAAAATACATAAAAATATGGCATGAACATTAATCTTATCACTGTGATTGCAAGATATAACCAAAAGCAATCTCCTGATGTCTGAGATTCTCAGGCCACTCCTGGTTATGTGTCTGTGAAGTTTCTTGTACATAACTGCAACATTAAATATGTGAGACCTTACAAAAATTTACACACCTGCTGGTTTCCTGAATTCCCATCTTTACCATCTGCACTACTGTCTTCATCATTATCATCCTCCTCCTCTTCTTCTTCCTCCTCAGTGTCTGATTCATCAGAGGTGTCCTCTTCTTCCTTCTTGAAGTTTGCCTTCTGCAGAGAGTAGTCCTTCAACTGCTCTTGTGACAGGCTCTGCAAGGTACATACACAAAATAAACTGAAGCAGCAAGAAGCTATTTACATTATCAAACCACACTTGTTCACTGAAACAAGTTTTTTATATTATTTTATTTGTTTAACATTGTTTTATTCTGACATGTGAACAGAGACTAGCACATGGAGTGAGAGAGAGTAAGCAAATAATAAGTATCAGAGATGAAATTTCTATGGACTATTAAGAAAAGAACTAACATACAGTCTCTTTGCACAATCATGCTTATTTTAGTCACAGTGAGAAATGGAACTTCAATATTATCTAATAGGTGTTTCAAAAATTAAATACAAAAATGTTTTAAACTTTCCCACTTCAAAATTAGTTGGAACTAGCTGCTCTCCACAGAAGAATTATATGAAAAATAAAAAATCTAAGAAATATGCTTACATAGTTCAAAAAGAAAATAACAATATTTTCATTTGATATAATAACTGGTCAACTAGGCTTAATAATTGAAAGGAGTCTGCTGCTGAGATGACGGTCTGATGTAATGCACCAGTATATTTACCTTAAGAAACTTTTCATAATCTTTGATGTATTTCTGTTTGATGTCATTCAATCGCTTTCGATGCTTCGCTTTGTCTGCATCGGGCAGCATCTGCCAGTACCTTGGAGCTTCACTTTCTCTATATTCAGGGTCAATGTGTGATGCATCTGTCATGAATGTTTTCAGGAACAACTGATA